ATGGATGGATGGATGGATGGATGGAATTGGACTGGGTTAGGATTGAATGAAAGGATAGAGAAAGCGAGATGGATGAAGGATGGATGAATGGGAAGGGATATGGAATAATTAACTCACTCGTATACATATCCTTTAAAGTTGTCCCAGTCAATCTTTACGGGTGAATCAGCGCTCCTGTCATCAATGAGAGCTGTCATCGTCCGATGAAAATCAACTCTACATCCTCTCTTGATCCACCATGTTGGACATTGCTGGTAGGTGTACGCTATAAAATAGAAAACATGCTTATTAGCTACTATGGGATTAAGTGAAACATCTAGTTGCATTGCAGTGCATCGTTGGTCTGTTTAGGGAACTTTCTAATATGGCGTCTATTTTGTATCTAAAGCAGTCATAACATGCACCAAAACCACAGGTATCCCATGGAAAGAAGCACTGGGCTTTTCTCTTATCCCGACACCAAAACTAGAAGAATTTTTTCACATTGTTTAACCTTTTCATCTCAAAGATAATGAAAAATTAAAATGGTATATGAATTTTATTGTTTAAGAAAACATTTATCATGACGTATATTTAGCAATTATTTGCCGAAGGCGAAGTGAATATCGGGGAATGATTTACCGAGACGCGTGTCTTCGAGCGGCGAGGTAAATATTCTCCATATACGCTGAGCCTGAGGCGAATAATTGTTTTAGCATATACAAACTTGTGTACAGAGTAACTTATTTTTATATACAATAATTCAATAAAAACAAACAAACAAAACCTTTTAGTTTTTGTGACAAATTCACGCAAAACTTTTAGCAAAACTTTTAGGCCATACTTCGTTGCCTTTTTAGTATTGATAGGAATGGCATTTACTTTCATTTTTTCAATTTCCTCATCGGAAATTGTAGCAAAACGATTGCTAGCAGATGCCATTTTGTTGCCGACTCAATATTCCGAGATTCAGAGGTGAATATCGTACAATATTCACCTCCAATTAACGAATGAGCGCGCGCGTTCTCAGGAGGTACACAAGTTGGTATATGCTAATAAGCATTATCCTTCTATACTAAGTCCACGAGATCAAATCCGAATTTTAGAAACATTTTAAAAATGTCACCCAAACGAGCTTCTTCAACATTGAAGCTCGCGAATAATAGACCTTATTCGTGGTGTGACAATGTTTTCCCAATTCAGCGTGACAAACCTCTGGGGGAATGAAGAGTTATTTGTTTTGCAACTCGTCGGGATATCATCGTTATTCCTTTCATATCCTTTGGGATACTCATGAATTTTTCGAAGAGTAAAAACAAAAGAAAATGAATCCTCTGGAGGTTCGTCCCGCTGAATTGGGAAAACATTATCACACCACGAATAATTTCTATTGATAAAAACATATGATTATTAACACACTAAACCTTGGATATACTTACAGGAAACGTGGGGAATGACGAAGAGTTGTGCTGCACACAAACCTAGTACGGCGTAGGCCAACACTGAAACAAAAATTTGGTGAAATATTATTCTCTTAACTCATCAATAACCTTTTAATTTTTTTGCTAATTATCTAAATTCCTCGCGTTTTTCCAATTTTACTTGCAGCGTTTGAAAAGACACACCAATAGATCTTCTCAGCAAGGGTGTACTTTTTGCCCATTTCAGACCACGTGTCATAATTCCCTGGAACATCATTCCTTTGTTTAACGATTGCGCATGAGAAGTGTACAAATCAAGGCAAAGAATCTTATTCTCAAGAAAAGGTTGGGGTTCAGATTTTTAAAAATGCTTCCATGATAAAAGTATCGTTTTAACTTTACAAAAAAATCATCTTTACCAATGTAAATTTAAGAGTATTTTTTAAAATACGAAGAAAGTTTTAAACAGATTGAAAATGATGAAAAAATAGTATCGGCCCGATATTTTTGAAAAAACCTTTTTTCTTTGCAGATTGGCCTTCAGTTCACACGAATAAGCCACTTAAAAACTTTTCGAAAACGCAATGCGTGGACCAATTATTTTTTTCTTTCAAAACAAGGAATAAAACAATTTCTTTACAAATACGTGTGAAAGTGGTCTCATACTTACTATTGGACTTGGTCTTGACAAAATCGTTGAATGTCTTCTGTCCCTATCAAGTGACAACACAAGGTCTACCACCTTGTTTTATACCCATCCTCGCCTAGCTGGTCTCCATGGTGACTAAAGACCAAGTTTCTATGGACCAGAAGAATGTCATTAGGAGATGAYATCAGATAATGGTGGATAATGAGTTGAGGAGTTGAAGAGTACTTATGAAAGATATCTAGTGTGTTCATCAAAAAAACTTGAAAAACTTATGTTTTCCAATTATGTTTAAATTTCTTCGTATTTCTTTACGCATATAAAAATCGTGCCTCTTTTTTCGTTCGTTCGTTACTCCCTTTCTTCGTTTGTTGTTCCCTTCCTTCCTCTTTTTTCTTTGATTTTTTCTTTCTCTTTTATTCCATCTTTCTTCTCTTTCTTTTTTTTTTTTTCCTACATTTTTTCTATATTTCTTTTTTTCTATCTTTCTTTCTTTCCTTTATGCATTTGCTTCCCTTTAGTTCTATTCCTCCCTCTCTTTTTATCTCTTCTCGCTGTCCTTTTTCATTGCTTTCTTCCAATTTTCCCCTATTTACCTTTTTCTCTATTACTTTCTTCGTTCTTTTGTTTTCCCTTTCCTTTCCTTTCCGTTTCGTTTTCTATCCCAGTATTTTCTCTTTAATAGAAATATTCTAAAACATAAAGAAAACATAAAGAAAAAATTTGAAGAATAACATTCTACTTTAAGCCTAAATTCAAGTGCAACGAGTAAAGTCAAAACAGAGATAAAAAACCTCGTCGATGACATCAGTTAATTGCATTAACATGAACACAAATGGGACTTCAACAACACGTTAGAACTAAAACGACATAGTGAATGACTGTAGAAAGAGAGGAGAGAGCAGAATAGAAGACTTAGAACGAAGTGCATATCGCAGCGAGGACCGACAGCGCTGGTTGACGAAAGGAGAAATCGGTTTTCCAAAAATATCCAGATACGGTGTAGTCTGGGACTTCATAGCGATTAAACCCGATAAGTTTTAAAGCGAAAAGATCGAAATAAGCATTTTTTCAATTCTTATCTCGATAATCTTATCTCGATAATATGATTTTTGATAAATGATAATTTTTTGATCGATTCATTGTTTGTTTTATCAGCTCAGCAGTTGATTGATTCAAGTTAATTACCTAGCAATATTGAGTAGCTACTTAAAACTATACACGCGTTCAAGTGGGAATCGTTACATAAGAGAGTTTTAGATTGACTTCCTTTCTCCTTGCAAACGGCAAACGTGACTACGTTTTCATAGTTTTCCTCTACTTTACTTTACCTTTTGCAAACCTTCTCACCAAAGACAAATATTCTTTTGTTTTTCTACTACTTGGACTTTTTTGCGATTGTTTTTAAGCTATTTAAAATAATTTTCAAATGGTCAGCTGACGTTTCACGTTTGCCGTGAACGTAAATCTTAAACTCTCTATAGATAGAATTTTGCCTCCAAGCAGTTCCCATAATTATAAAGGAGAGCAATACATTTTTGTTTTGTTTTGTCCAATGAAAATGTTTTGTAATTTTATTTATCGTGCAACAAGAAATAAAAATTAATTTCACATCTTGAACGAGAAAATATGTACATATATATAAATTGTTAAATATATAAAGAGATTTTTTTACGCGGGGGTAAATTTTGTTTTACACAATTGAATTCTAGCCTTGCCCTAGGCCTGAGCTAGATCAGCCGAGAGGATGTTTCAGGGCTGGACCTGTGAGTTAGCCATGCCCTGAGTTATATCAGCCCAGAGGTTGTTTCAGGGTTAGATCTGTGAGTTAGCCGTGCCCTGACTTAGATCAGCC